CGCGTTGGGTGGTGTGCTAGTCCACGCCCAGGACTGGAACAGTGCATGCCAGGGGCTCACCAGGGTGTGACAGTGAGTGAGGGGTTAAGAAGTGCTGAGGGCAGAAGCAAAGGAAGGACAGAGGGGTGGAGAGGGCAGGGCAGGAGACTCCAGGATGGGCATGGGCTTGCACATGCCAGGGAACATGCAAGGAGGAGGGGAGATCAAAGAGACACCTCACCATAGCACCCCGGGAGAAAAGTAAAGCGTTGGCCCGATAGTGCCAGCAGTGGAGGGCGGCCAGCAGGGAGCTGGCAAAGTCGGCTACCTGCTCCGCCACTGCCAGGCTCTCCTCCTCCTCCTCCTCTTCCTCTGAGCCTGGGGGCTCTGGCCCAGACCCCTTCTTGCTGCCTTCATGCCCTGCCAGGTCCTCCAGAGTGACCTGAAACGCCTGCTCCTGCTCCTCGTCCTCCTCCACCTCCTCCTCCTCCTCCTCCTGCTCCTCCCGGGCAGCCCCTTCGGGCTCCGGCTGCAGGCCCTGCAGGCCCCGAGTACGGGAGGGCTGCCCACAGTCCAGGAGAGCGCCAGTGCTGCCCGCATGCTGTTCAGAGCAAAGACTCCTCGTGACCAGCCCTGGGCAACACCCCTCCTCCTACCGGTGGCTGGGGGTGAGGAGGCTTTATACATAAATCCACATCTAGACAACAACCCCTGGTCTCCACTGGAGCCCAGAGAGGACCAGAGGGGGAGCAGGGGGTAGGGGTGGGGGGTGAACAGATGGGGTGGGGAAGAGGAGGGGGCAGGTTTCTCATGGTAGGAAGCTGGGACCTGGGAAAGCCAGGAATGGGGCCTGGTTAGGAACTCAAAGCCCCAGAGAGGCCTGCCTGCCCCGGAGAGAGGAAAGAATGAGAGAGGATCCAGGCTGGGCAGGCCACCACCATGGTGTCTTTCCAGGAAAGGGTACAGAAGGGTCCCTGGGACACGGGCCATGGCTCATTCATCTCTGTGGCCCTCATGACAGAGCCTGGTACATAGGAGGTGCTTGGTAGGTATTTGTCAAATGAACAGAGACAATGAGAGCTGAAGGGGCCAGGGGCTGACCTGGGCAATCCCACCCCTCTCGACCCAGCCAGGCCCCTCTGCCCACAGCCTTACCTTCATTCCCCCTGCTCTGGCCACTCTGGTTGCTGCCACCACCACAGAGTCCCAGCACATGGCGAGGGGAGGAAGAGGGGATGGGTGGACAGGAGAAAGAGCCTCTTTATAGGGCCAGAGGCCGAGCAGACCTCTCTGGGCTCCTATTCCCCAACCCCTCACTTTCCAAAGGAATGTCTGACAGAACAAGAGCGGGGGTTGGGTGGGGTGCACAGCAGTGCACTGTGAGAGCACTTGCTCCTGCTGTTACCCGAGGACAGTGAAAGGAATGGGGGGGCGGGGGGCTCAACCCCCCTCCACAGAGGGCAACTGGCAAAAGGCCCACTTCCAGGGAGGAACAGAGACAGAGTCCCCTCTAAACTGTCCTCAACACCCCCACCCAGCCGGTGACCGACGACCCTTCCTGCCCCGACCCTACAGCTCACCTGGGCTGCTCACCCCTCACACTCACCTTTCTCGCTGAGTTGCCGGAGCAGGTGTTTGGTTGGCTCTGCAGAGGAAAGCGATGGGCAGTCAGCGCAGCCTGCAAACAGCTGTGCCTGGCCCTGCTCCCAAGCCACAGCGCCACCAGCCCATCACCAGCTCAAAGTCCACTCAGGCTGCCCCCAGCCCCCAGCCCTAGGCCTAAAGGAGGCGGCCCTCACACCTGTCCCTCGGGGAGGCAGGGCCACTCCCATCAGCCCTGGGACCTCTGCCATGACCGCCAGCCCCCAAGAGCAGCACTGCCCCAACCCCCTGAATTAACACAGCTGACCCAAGGAGCCACAGCCCCACACCGCCCCTTCAGACCAACCAGGCGTATCTCCAGCCAGATGTCTGGAGGACCATGGCTCCACTCAAGCCCCACCTTCCCAGCAATGAGCACGTCAGCACCTTAGCTGCAACCCAGGCCAAGCCCTCTCTTAGCACCCACTGGAAAGCAGAGGTCGCACCCGACTTTCTACGGCCCATGAGGCCAGGCACCATGAAGCCTCGCTGCTGGCTGGGGAGTGTTGCCCGGCTGTGCAGGGGCTGACCGGGCTCTGGGACAGGATACAAAACACAGGCATTAGGCTGGTGGGGCACACCCTGTACTCCAGCCTTTCTGGGGACAGACCTGAGACAGGCAGGCACAAGGGACCTACCAAGAGAGCCTTGGCCAGAGCCCACACTGTCCTTGCCCAGCTGGCATTGCACGAGCGGCCCACAGTAAACTCGCAACCAGAAGGAAAATCTAATGAGAGGTGTGTGTGCGCAGGTGCCCACACCATCTGCACAATAACCGTCAACATCCAATTGTTTTCATCAAACACTCAACTTCTTCATTTTAGAGCTTATAATCAAGAATCTATCTATATCAAAGCCTAAGCGACCATTACGACCGGTCGATCAAACGACCAGTTGACTGGTCACTATGACGCCTACTCCCACAGCTAACCTCCTGCAGCCGGCCAAACTCCTGCTGTCCCTCCGCCCCGCAGCTGGCTGGGCGGTCAGTGTGCTCCTATAGCCAACCTCCTGCGACCCCTCCTCCAGCCACATGGCCCCAATCGGCCCTGATTGGGAATGGGCAAGATGGCCCCTGATCGGCAGCCAGGACCAGGGATCCTACCCATGCACGAATTCATGCACTGGGCCTCTAGTATTTAATTAAGTGACCAAAAATGACAGTAGCACCTGACGTATCCATCAGTGTTATTTATCTGCCCATCTCAGCTCTCTCGAAGGAGGAAGCAGAAAGGGCCCAGCCGCAGGCCCACCCGTCCCCCCGCCTCAGCTACTGCCTGGCCTGCTCCACACACGCCTCCTCACAAGTTCAACAGACGGATTTCGAACAAACTGAGGGGGAAGGAATACTGCAGGCAAGCACACTAAGACAGATCAGAGCAAACACTCGTCAGTGTAAAGATGGACACAACAGAGGCTGTCTCTATGGCAACCACGGTCCCCCACCCCCCCCGCCCCTCTGGGGGCCCTGGAGAATCTAGCAGTTCACACACCACAGTGATGCCATTGCACAACTTCAGAAACGGAGAAGTTCAACTCTGGCCAGCATCCTCTATTTTAAAGGCTCCGGAGTATGAAGCATGTTTTTAGAAAGATGCCTCTCTCCTAATGGTCAAAGCTAAAGCCCAGAACAAGCACACAAACAATACCCAGCTCTTCTCGAGTTTCCAAGCGAAGCTCTCAGCCACGTGGAAACTTAGGCTCTAAAATGGCTCATTTCCTGCTGCCTTGATAGCTGCCGTGCGGATGCGACAGGTGCACTTACTACTGCCACCACCACCGTCACTCACCGCACACGCCCGTGTGCCAGAGCTCCCAATACAGAGCTGTGGCAGGTCACAGGGGAAGACCAGAGCGACAGGAAGAGGATGACAGAGGGAAGGTGAGGACACAGGGAGGGCCAGAGGCTGACTAAGTTAACACGGCCGATGTGGGGCTTTAGACATGCGGACATACGGCACCGTCAAATCCTGCAACCACGACAGGTTCGCCTAGGGTTCAAGGTCCACTGGGAGCAAACAAAACGAAGCCACAACAGCTTCCCGAGATCACGCGGTTCACGCATCCATCCACAGTTATTCAGAGAGCTCGCGGGCCATGGCCAATCGAAGCCCAAGGCGCCGCGGAGATCCACGCCAGTCACACCCGAGTCTCTCCCCAGGGCTCTCACCACGCGAGTAAGTTTGGCCGTACCGACCGAAGCCGACGGGTCCCTCGGCCGGCCTCAAACGGAAGGGCGAGTGGAAACATGTGGAAAACACCGGCGAGCTAAGAATAACAGCAAGGTCTTCTCTTTCTCAGTAGACGACTGACTCCAGAAACTCCAAGTACACAGCAGCGAGCCCCATCATGGAAAACCCGGGAGAGGGAAATGGAACTTTCCCCCAAGACCCAAAGCAAATATTTCCCGTCTGGATTTGATGCCACTGGAAGTCTGCCTTGCTTTCCCCACGCCCTGCCTCTGCTCTGTTCCGCGGCCGGGCCGGGGCCCATCCGTGATGTCGCGCGTTACTCCTGGCCGGCTCCCAGGAGCGGTGAAGGGGAGGTTTCCATCGCAGGGGAGCCAAGAAGGCTGCCAAGGCCTGAGTGAACAGCATGCCTAGGGCCTTGGAAAAGGTGGGTGCCCAAAGGTGCCGGGTGGAGGCAGCACAGGGAGAGGATCTAGACAGACACAGACACAGACACAGACACAGACACACACACACACACACACACACACCCCACACACACACACGCCCTTACCACATCTTGCCGCGATGAGAGCCGACCCAAAATGCTGCTGCAACCGTTCCCATGAAGATGCCTCTGCCCACACAGCCCTCCCCTTACCAGACTGCCGGCGGCCCTGACGCACGTGGGTGGGCACCTCATCCTGGGAGGACCAGGCCTTCTTCAGGCGCTCTGGGCTGTAGCGGTGCCGGTTGGGATCTGCACCCAAGAGAGACAATCAGGCCTCGGGGACACTCAGCCTTGGCCTTGACTCTGACCGTACCTGACCACCCCTCTGCTGCCACCCTAACTCCAGGGGCCAGAAACCTCCAAAGCTCCCCTCTCGCATCTTCCATCCACTTCCACCCGGGGCCTCGGCACGGAGTCCGCCCGTCAGTGGTGCCGTGGGCCTTGGCTCACAGGAGACCCCCAGGCCCTGACAAAGGGACCGCCCGGTCCTCCCTGCCCCCTGGGATCTCAGTGTCAGGCCAAGCTTCCCCGGGACGCAGCCTGACCGAGAAAGGTGTGCCATTAGGGGCAGAGCAGCAGAAAGGGTCACTCACAATAGGAGTCCATTTCCAAGATCGCTTCCTTGGCCTGGAGGAGAAACCCACCTGGTTATGACCCTGCCAGGTGCCATGTGTCCCCTGACACACACACACCCCGCCTCTGGTGAGCGAGGACCCCCCACAGTGCTCTGTGAGGTCCCGGGCATCCGCTGAATGACGCCCGCTGTTCAGAGATGCCAGTGTCCAGAGGATGGGCCCTTATGAACCTGCAGCTGGCTCTGAAGGACACCCGCTCCCCGAACCCCCTCAGGAGCTGGGGTGGGCACCCCAGGAGCGCACCTTCTGGGGGATGGTGGTGTGGTGGTTCTCCAGGATGAGCCTCTTAATGTGGTGCGTCCAGTTCCGCTTCTCCTGCACGGTTTTGGCCTGGGCGGAGGCAAGAGAGGGAGCCAGGGGTCACCACGGGCCGAAGGCACACGACGTGGGCGTGCTCCAGCCGCGGTGGAAAGGGGGCCTCTGCTCGGGCCTGAGAGATGCCCACAGTGACCCCTGCAGCTAAGCGAGCAGAGGAGGCAGGCCTGCCCCCAGCCCGCCCCCCGGCCCACCCCTCACCTGGATGCTGTACTGCTGCTTGCTGTGCTTGTAGTGGGTGACGGTGAAGCACAGGGAGTCTCTGGTGCTTTCGATCAGCATCAGGGAGGAGCACTAGGGAGGAGGGGGAGGGCATTCAAGGACGAGGAAGGGGAAAGGGGAGCTGACCGGGGGCCCCCGTCCCTCGAGATCCGCTGGGGAGGGAGCGTAATCGCAGAAGGACGGAGCTGCGCCCACACTGACCAGGGCCGACGAAGAGGGTGAAGACGGTGAGGAGGAAAGGGGACAGAGGAGGTGGAGGCAGCCTGGTTACCGGGATGTGACCCTTGTAGACGAAGTGGTCGCCCCGCTTCTTGGTGATGAGCAGCGCTTTGTCGAAGAGGAAGAAGGTCTTCTCGTTCCGCACGCGGTGCAGGCGGAACGTGCCCTCCAGGACCAGCTCCCCATAGATGGTCAGGTCGGGCCCCTTCCAGTTGATGAGCAGCGACTGAATCTCCTGCAGCCCAGAAGCCCCCACCCAAAGGGTCAGGCTTCTCATGACCTTCCTGGGGACCCCCTGGGACTGCAAGGAGCTCCTGAAAACCCAACCAGTGCTGGGTCCCCCAGAGGAGCCTGCCCCACACGACAACACCCCTCAGCTCACCCCAGCAGGGCGGCCCCACGCCCCCCAACCCCAGACCACCCTTGCATGTTCCTGCCGTCACCAGCCCGGAGCACCTGGAGCCGGACCGCGTGCTCATGCCTCCTCTTCATGTCGTTGATGTACCAGGCCACGCAGGTCATGGTGTCAATGGCATCCTCCACCACCTCGAAGCCGTCCTCTTCTTCATCAAAATGTTTGGCAATTTCCTGCGCGGGACACAGGGGCTTAGGCAGCCCACAGACTCAAGGGTCCTGCCCCTCCCCCAGCCGCCCCGTCCTCGGGGGCCCTGGGTTACCTGGAGCAGCAGGTGGTACTTGAGGATGCGCTGGACGGGCTTCAGCAGGTAGGAGCCCAAGGGCAGCGAGTGCTGCAGCAGCGCCTGCCGGTCCCGGAAGAACTTGGCCTGCTGCTTGTCCCGCATGCACTCGGTCAGGGCGGCCACTGAGCTGGAGTGGGGAAGGGGCGGTCACCACCTTGGAAGGCCTGGATGGGAGGTGGGGTCCCCCAGCCTCACTGAAGGGGTCAGCCACCCCTCCCCATCCCAACGACTCACTTGGGGTAATTGTTGCAATACTGGGTGTAGATATCAAACTCTTGACTCTACAGAGAAACCAAAAAGAGTGACTTCAGGGAAACCCCCATTGGACTGTAAACCAGGTGTGCCCAACACATGCCCCCGCTCCCCTGCCCCCTGTGCCCTTTCCCTGAGCCTCTGCAGGCCCATCTTTGTACCCATCTGTCTGGGACATGCCATCCACCCAAGAACACCCTCCCCCTTCCAGACAGGACACCTGGCACTTCCCCTGGAGAGGGGCACCCAAGAAGGTGGGCATCGCTGTCCCACTGAGCCCCCACGGAAGAGGACAAGAGGCAAGCAGCCAGCCCTTCTCACCCTTTCCACAAAGCAGCTGGCCACAGCCACAGGGTCGCTATTGCAGTTGTCCAGGTCTCGGAGGAGCTGGCTGGGTGGGGGAGAGCAGTCATCAGATCCCGGACCACTCACAGCCTCCACGTCCACCAACACACCATGCCCCTCCCCAACCTCCTGCCCAGATACACAGCCAGTCGGAGCCATGCCGGAGTCAGGGCTTCCGCCCTCGAAGTGAGCCCTGCCCAGGGCAGCAACCAAGAAAGCACCCAGCAACACTGCAGAGATGGGGAGCAAGGGACACCCACATGCTCGGCAAGAGGGAGAAGGGACAACAGTACCCACCTCGGGGGAGGACACGGCTCCTCTGCAGGCAGGAGGAGTCAAATACACAAAAGCAGAGATTAAAGGAGAAAGAAGGGCGGGGGGCTCGTAAAAGAACCGACCCCCAGCTCAAAAGGAGAGAACAGGGTGAGACCCCAGCACCCCTTGTTCTACAGGAAATCCTAGAGAGGGTGCTCCCCCTGCCGCTTCCCCCTGGGCTCTCCCCTCTTCCCAACCCCCCACAATCCAGCCTCGGTCTCCCTCCCAGACTTCTCCGGCTGGCACAGCAGGAAGTCTCCCTGCCCATCTTAAAGGGCCTGGGGCAAGGTGCAAAAACGCCACGCTCCCGCCAGCCCTGCGCCTCCTGACCAGTGCCCTTCCCTGGAGCATCTGTGGGCCCAGGCGGCACACTCTGGATCCTCAAGGAGCCCCTCTGCCCTGAAGCAGCCCTCACCAGGCCTTGTTCAGCCTCCCCACCACATCTTGCCTGACCTGTGCATTCCCCTAAAGCAGGGGTGGGGAACCTTTCTTCTGCCCAGGACCATTTGGATATTTATAACATCATTCGTGGGTCATACAAATTTATCAACTTTAAAATTAGCCTGCTATGCCCTATCCGGTGTGGCTCAATGAATGGAGTGTGGGTCTTCAGACTGAAGGGTTCCGGGTTTGATTCTGGTCAAGGGCACATGCCCGGGTTGTGGGCTCCACCCCCAGTAGGGGGCATGCAGGAGGCAGCCGATCAATGATTCTCTCTCATCACTGATGTTTCTCTCTCTCTCTCTCCCCTTCTCTCTTCCTCCCTGAAATCAATAAAAATATATTAAAATAAATAAAATGATCCTGCTATACTTGGTCAAACATTTAATTAGCTCACCCCTAATGCCTTGGCAGGGCCAGACCAAATGATTTCTCGAGCCTTATACGGACCACAGGCCGGACGTCCCCCACCCCTGCAAAGGGTCAGATCACCTCCAGGGAGCCCGGACTTCCCATGGGGTAAGAAGATGGAGAAGAAACTAAGAGATGCGAAAGTGGGAGACAAAAATGAGAGGGACAAAGGGGCCACAGAGAGCTAGAGGGGAGCGTATCAGGGCAAGGGTCTAGCAGTCCCCTGAGGGGGCGTGGCCCGGGCTGAACCCAGCAAGCACAAGGCCCCGGGGCACATGGTCCCACAGGGCCTCTCCCTGCAGGGAGCAGCTATACTTCTGTACAGGGACGACCATCCTCCCCCATCCTCAGAGATCAGGCCCTGGGCCCACAAGCCACCGCCCAGGACACCCAGGATTCCTCTCCAGGCCGCGAAACGGGCCGCACAGGCAGGACCGGGTGTACGCCGGACCCACTCATACCTGTTCAGTGCATAGATGCTTTCTATGTTCCCAAAGAGGGCGCTGACTTGTTCTGGCTGCAGCAGCCCGGGGGTGTCGATGATCTTCAGGAGGTAGTCCTGCAGGGAGAGAGGCATCAGAACGCGGCCCCTCCCGCACAATCCCATGCCCCCAGCCACACCTCACTTCTGTGCCTCGTTTTACAGCTATAGCACGATTTCACAGGCATCACCTACTAGACTGGTTTGGATAGTTGCACCCAAAAATTAATATCCACATGGAACTTCGGAACGTAAACTTATTTGGAAACAGGGGTTTTGTAGATGCGACTAGGATCTCAAGATGACATCGCTCTGGATTTAGGGTCCTAAGTCCAATGACCGGAGTCCTTATAAGAGAGAACCACAGAAGCGGAGAAGAAGGCAACGTGAAGACGAGGCAGAGATGGCGGTGAGGCAGCCACAGGCGATGGCACAGGAGGAAGGCCAGCAACCACCAGGAGCAGGAGGAGGCCTGGAAGGCAGCCCCTCAGAGCCGCCAGAAGGAACTACCCCAACATCTGGGTTCTAACTTTTGGCCTCCTGCTCCGAGAGAGACAGAAGAAATGGCTGCGTCCTAAGCCGCTGGGTCTGTGGTAATTTGTTACAGCAGCCTGCGAATCCAATACACCTCCCTCCGCAGGCGGCTCCCGCAGCGGCAGCCACCTCCTCCTGTGTGCCCCGCACAGTGTGCACACTTCACCTGCAATGGTGCATTGATCTTCATTTTACCCATGAGGAACCTCGGGGGCTACCCCAGTGCCTGAGACCCCACAGCTAGGGAACAACAGAATGGGATCCAGGAGCAGACAGGCAGGGTCCAGAGTCCGTCTCCACGGAGCACCGGAGTCCCTTCCCTCCTCGTCAAGGGTGTCTACTCCCTGGGGAGCCACAGTAAGTTCTGCTGGCGGAGCAAGTGGCTGACCCCGAGTCACATGGCAGTATGAGCCTCAGCCGTCAGGGCGGAGAGGATCGGTGGGGAAGCAGACCTCCAGGATAAACGAGTCAGAACTGTCCTTCCGGGTGGCCGCAGGTTTATGCGCCAGAGCTGGGCTGCAGGGCCAGCCCGAGAGGAGGAGGCCGCGCCCCCTCTCCTTACCTCCACGATGCTGCGCAGGTCCTGCACGTACATGCGCTCCGTTTCCACGATTTCCCGCACCACCCGGCCCAAGTAGCTGAGCTTGTGCGCAGGCGCGGCGGCTGCCCGGCTGTTGAATGGGGACAGGGGTCCCTTCTTGTTAGGCCGGGTGCTGGAGTTGTTGTTGCTGTTGGGGGCGTGCCTGCCACGCGGCGAGCCGGCCCCGTTCTTCGCTAAGGCCTCAGGGCCGCTGGGCTCCTCCATGGCGCCTCGGCTGTCCCGGGAGGAGCCCGAGGAGGACGCGGTGGAGGTCAGGCTCGCGGTGGAGGTCAGGCTCACGGGCCGCTCCTGGCTGTCGTCCTGGTGGAGGGAGGTAGAGACGGGCATCCTGGCATCGCTGCCTGGCGAGGGCACTCCGGGGAGATTCTGGGCAGGGCAGACAAAGTGTCAAACTCTGAGTCCTCACAGAAACAGAAAGTAGCAGGGGGGCTGCCAGGAGTGGGAGGGGGCGGCGGGGTAGTTGTTTAATGGATAGAGTTTCAGTTTTGCAAGATAATAAAAAGTCCTGCGGGTGGACTGGTGGTGATGGACACAACAATATGAATGGACTTAAGGCCACTTAATACAAGTGGTTAAAATGCAAATATTATTTTAAGAACAGTTTTACCACAATTTTTAAAAACAGCAACTAGCCCTAGCCAGACAGAGTGTCAGCCTGCGGACTGAAGGGCCCTGGGTTCGATTCCGGTCAAGGGCACATGCCCAGGTTGCGGGCTTGATCCCCAATAGGGGGTGTGCAGGAGGCAGCCGATCAATGATTTCCTCTCATCATTGATGTTTCTATCTCTCTCTCTCCCTCTGAAATAAAAACATTAAAAAAAAAAAAAAGCAACTTGGAATCCCCAGGAAATCCCTTCCCCCAGACCCTATGAGCAGCTACAGCAGTGGTTCTCAACCTGTGGGTCGCGACCCCTTTGGCGGTAGAACGACCCTTTCACAGGGGTTGCCTAAGACCATCCTGCATATCAGATATTTACATTATGGTTCATAACAGTAGCAACATTACAGTTATGAAGTAGCAACGAAAATAATTTTTTGGTTGGGTCACCACATGAGGAACTATATTTAAAGGGCCAGAAGGTTGAGAACCACTGATAGGGATGCCCCATAACATTCCCTCCCGACTCCAACAGCTCCACCTCCACCTTTCCAGGGTAGAAGACAGGTGGGCCACACCCAGACAATAAGGGCTTGGAAACCCGAGGCCCCAGAAGAGCAGAGACAACACCTCGGCCAGAGCCACGGCGGGGGTGCCCTCTGAGGGAATCCCAAGCACCTGGCCTCTCAGGCCCTCGGCTCCTCACCATCTGCCCAAGCGTTGTGTCCTCCAGGCTCTGAGCACCTGGCACAGGGCAAGGGCTCCATAAACTGTCAAAACAGCGATGCTAATGGTGGTTGTCTAAGAGCACTTCCCAAGTGCCCACCTGTCAGGGCCTGTGCTGGGGTCACCGGACAAAGGCAGGCAAATACTTGGCTCTTAAAATCTAAGAGGACAGGCACGCCAGAGGGGAACAGTCTCCCCAAGGTTCCAAAATCTTGGGGCACCAGTGACTACACCATGAACCTGGAAACTTCCAGATACTGACAGAGAAGGCAGAGGAGATGGCACAAAGGCTGAGCCCACATGACCCCTGACCCCATGCCCAGAACCTGGTACAAGCCCCTGACTCACCCTGGCTCCCAGGGACAGGAAATTCCCCAGGGCTGAGCCACCGGTGAGTCTCCCACGCTCCCCGGGCTCAGCTCACCTCAGCTCAGCACAGTAAGCAGGAAGCTGCTCCCAGATGAGGCAAACACAGCCTCGGGTGGACTTTATTCCCTGAGCAGATGGTGGCAGACTCACAGGTAGGCCTGCCCGAAGCAGCAAATCAGGGGAGGGGCTGTGGCCTGGAGGACAGGCACTCCACCTCCACCCAGAGGACCGGCGCTCACTCACACCCGTACACAGGAAACGGTTCCAGAGCATCCCTCCCACCTCCACTGGCCCACAGCCTTCCGCCCCCAGTGCTAGGTCTCAGCAGCTACCAGATCACAGACCACAGCTATGAGGAGAAGGATCTAGAAGTTCCTTAATCACTCCGCTAACAATGATTTTGACCCCTGGTTTTCTGTGCCTCTGCCCCAACCTACACCAACACCCCAGGCTCGGGCTTTTGTAAATGTTCTCTATGCTTGGACATTATTTCCTCCCCATCCATTCCATGACATACTGGCTCCAACCACTTCACTCAGATCCAACCCTCAGGTTCCGATCAGAAGCCGCCACCGCCTGCCCCTAGAAACCTCCCCAGAAGGCAAGCCTGAGGCCCCTAGAAACCTCCCCAGAAGGCAAGCCTGGGGCACCTAGAAACCTCCCCAGAAGGCAAGCCTGGGGCACCTCCTGCATAATCCTTCAGCACCCATAGTTACACCTACCGTATTTGCCGGCGTATAAGACGATTTTTTGGCCCTGAAAAATATGCCTCCAAGTGGGGGGTCGTCTTATACGCCAGGTACACTTCAGATAGACTGCCCATAGTGCTTGCCCCGTGCCATAGTGGCCTCCCGATGCCCGCCCACTTCATTCCACATACCGTTCAGGCATCAGCAGCGCTGCTGGGTGTATGCTCGGCTGTTATGCGATTTTGCTGTTATGCCATTTTACCACACTCGCAAAATCGCACACAGCCAACCATACACCCAGTATGGTATCGCGATTCGTGATTTTGCGCTATCATACTGGGTGTATGGTCGGCTGTGTGCGATTTTGCGAGGGTGGTAAAATCGAATAACAGCAAAATCGCATAACAGCCGCGCATACACACAGCCGCGCTGCTGATGCCTGAACGGAATGTGGAATGAAGCGG